TCTCAGCTGTTCCATTCGGTATTCACGTCTTTTCTCGAATGTGCAGTGTGTAACAGTAGTCAGAATAGTAATGATAATCGTGAAATCGCTGGCTTTTCCATACACATTCCACACAGAACAGTCATCTGACAGTTCAGATATACTTTTTTCTACTCAACCGTACTCTTTTGACCGCGAACTTTGGGAGTTTCATTGTTTCTTTTCTTTGTTTTTGTTTGTTTATGCACTGACTTTGAATAACAATTATTGTAGGAGAATGAATATTACGCGATTGAGACTTTCGGCAGCACAGGCCGGGGTTACGTGACTGATGGTGACGAGGTGTCACATTACATGAAAAATTTCCATGCCGGACACATTCCTCTCAGGTGAGCTTTCGTAAGATGATCTGTGAAATCAACACCAACAGTGGCAGCTTTCATGTAGTATGCGTATTCTGCCGGCATTCTAGTGAAGCGTTTCTTTTCACCCAGTCATCTGATATGGGAGCTTTCAATGTGCATCGCTTGCTACAAACCATCCTCGGAACGTTCTTTACCATTTATCTCCGTTTTTGTGATAACGATGCATGAAGTCTCAAAGCAGAAAGCACGTACAAAATGTGATCTTTCGGTGTGCCATTTATGATACACTCAAGTTTCGTGTCAAGGTTGTCGTGCATCATGTTGCAATTATTGGTTTATTCTCGAGGGGAAAAATGACCTCGCGTGCTTCTATCTCTCGATTATTGTGTAATATCATGAAATTTTCTAATAACCGCCTCTTTTTACTTCATTGAACCAGTTTAGTTGTTTGTCTTACATGACAAAAATGTTAATTTTTCATTTTAAATAATGCAAGTGTTCACGAAAATGGAAAGTACCAATGTCTCTGTCGGATCGATGATACATTGAGCAAACTGATGAGCAGCATACTACAGGATGCTTTTTGTTCCGGTCTTTATGGTTCATAACGCTGTACCTTCGACCGTTCTTTTGCTCGAAAAATACACAAAAGACTAGTTGGAGCACTGGGCAACAGCGCTTACTTTTCATGTCTCTTCTGAGACTCGAATGATGCAGGTTCGGGTTGGAAGTCTTACCACTGTGCAGTCAATACAGTCAATAACCAAAACACAGCGCCCCGATTCGAGTCCGGACCGGGACACACTGTAGATGAGTGCAAACAAAGACGAAAGAGCCATTTACCGTTCTTCGTCGATCATCACCAATTTCGTCGCATCTGAAAATGCATTAACAATTAGGGAATCAACAAACCCGAAACCCACAAGGACACAACACACAAATAATCGTGTTTGTGTGTTCTGAAGCGCAATAAAACAATCGGTTATTGTACCGTCTTTTTTAGAAAGCCCACGATAACAGGTTGGATGATATTTTATCCCATTCGACACTCATCGTCATTCTGCCTGCCACCCATAAGTAAGAAATAAATTGGCTTGAGATCTGATCAAAATTGTACTGTTCTGTTCTCCGAATTTATAAATGCTTTCCACTGGCTCAACACTTGTCTATCGCAGCTCAGTTGAAGGGATTTGGTCCGATTACTTGTTGTTTGGTGTACAAACGAAACTCAGTCATTTATTTATTTATCCATGGTACACTTGTAGGCTAATCCGATTATGCATTGACGGCACTAGCTCATCAGAATTCTATGTGACGAGGGATTGTCTTCTGGGTTCTTCTCCTATCAAACCATTCAGTTTAGATAATTCTTTCTTTAGAGTTGATCCGGGGGAGGGAGCTAATTGAATAGAGTGGTTGCCATAACAGCAAACTATTCAGTCACATTACACCAATCAACGGTGTACCGTTCACGAAAAGCGCTTTGGTCGATTGCATCTCATTGTACTTTTGGAGTAGTGGGCGGATGTATAGAATTTTGCATGAATTGTTCTCGTAGAGTAGGGTTTTATCTCTGTATTGAAGTATAGTTATCACAAGTGTAGAGCTTTCTTGCACCAGTGGCGTCCGCTAGTTGGTTTGCTTTATCATTTGTCGTATTACCGTACTTGCAGTTTTGATTGCATTTCCTCCCTCAGTTCAATAGAGTTATCATGTCCATTTTGCTCGGTCATCGATCCGCCCTTAAATGCGCGACAATGTCATGCGTACCATGTTGAATCGTATGGCGCACGTTTCAACACGCATTCACTTTCTACTCTGTTACCGGATTTTACAGTCCCTTGTTATCGTGACTTTCTCACGTACGAAAGTATCGTTGATGTCATATAGTGTACTGTTTGTTCTCTTCTACTCACGAATGAAATGAAGTGCATTCAGGATGTAATTTGACGCCCGTTAATCTGATGGTGATTGGGCTACAAAATGAAATCGATCGTTGAGCCGCTGGTTGAGTTTATGAAAGTTTTGTGTAATTTATTGACGCGGTGTATCCATTCGTGTCAATCCCAAAACACTCAACTTTTTATGAATGACTGGATGATACTATTGATGGGAACTGACCCTTCAATGCACTTCCCCTTTCTCGGAACACGATTTCTTCCTCAGTGCGGTCTCTTCGTAGATAGTCTGTCTTATATTGTGTTTGCTTAAGTATGACGTTGCGTCAAATCTATTTATTACAGCTAAAGTTTGTTCAGTTGATGAAGCTTACCTGATTCGGGCACGCTTTTTGTTGGTCGTTGTAATTCTCTCACCATTTCAGCTTATTGTTCCAACCTTTGTGAACAGTATGTTGCAGTGTGCTTGTCCCCTAGAACACAACTAATCGATAATTGAATAGTGCGTTGAATAAACGTCTTTCAATTGCACTTTTCACATGACGCAGTTAAATCGCATCGTTACACCGTGTACTGACATGTTGCTTGTCAATAATTCGAATGACCTCATTTCCTTATCCGAGACAGTGACTACTAAGATGGCTCATTCATTGACTAGTTGTCTTTCATTCATCTTTCAGATCAGTATGAGCGAATCATTTTTTGCTCCCCTGCTGTTTTTCGCGGTCTGCTTTGCGTTGCGGTGGTTCGGTAATAGGCCCCTCTTCTGTCATTCTCCCCAGATATTTGAGTCACACGTTCTCCCCGCGAATGTCTCAGTTCAAAAAATCCTTGATGGTCCTTCACTTCCAATCTTTCAAAATGTCATTCTCATGACATAACTCATCCCTAATTCCGATCATCTCTTTTGCGTATTAGTCCATACGGAAATTCTGCTGTTCTCTAGCTAGCTAGGTACTCATCGACCTTGAAAAGGCGATGGTCTCAGATAATAAACTCATGTTATTCCTATTTTCTCCTGTTTAGCCATTTTACTTTTCTATCTTCTGTATGATATTCCTTGCAAAAGTTCTTTAAACAGAAAAGACTCATTGCTATTTCTTATTCACTGTGGCTCAGTGTTGCCTCTTTTGGAATGCAACAGTGGTTTTATGCGCTTACAGTCTCTTATTTCCTAGAAGAAATACAAACCAGTGATTCTCACTCCAGATCGTTGTCTTGGACTCTTTCTTTTTCACAGATTACCCAAATCCAAGCAGTTACTCAATGTGATCGATCGGAACTTTGGAACGTTGGCTTTCTGTCGTCGCTGGCTAGATCGATTGGGTGAAACGAAATATTTGCTCTCGTTGAAACATCTCTGTGATGTTGGTATAGTCGACCCGTATCCGCCATTGTGTGATCAGCGAGGTTCATACACAGCTCAGTGGGAGCACACAATTCTCCTACGACCGACCTGCAAGGAAGTGGTCACGCGTGGACCAGACTATTAGAGTACGATCATGATATCGGCTGTGGTGATATTTTCCTTCCATCCGTGTATGTACTGACCCGCTGCAAGACACTGTGAGTAATTGCCATTGGTAATGTACTATATAAACATCGGATTCAAAGTTGGATTTCTTTTTGTCGACACTGCTCTCATTTTGCCTGTAAATTGTTCACGTGTATCAATTTGTGCATACCTTGTGATTCAAGGCGGGATAGATATCTTTCACTGAATTTTAATCCTTGGAAGGTAATTGGGTTTAACGTCGTGGGTACACCTGGTTGTGAAGCGGACTAACGTTCATAGGGATTGAAAGTTGAATGCTATTGTTCTGGCGGCTGCGGTGCTTTTTCACGTTCTACGAAAGTATATTGATCAGAAGACGGAACAATCGTCGTGCTCTGTATTTGGCCTCTTCGCTCACGGTAACACTTTTTGGTTGCATATACTTCTCGTTCTATTCAAAGGTAAATCGTGTCTCATGCCTGCCATATGGTTTCAGTTTTTGTGGAGTAGTTACACTGCTAAACGGCCTCCAGTAATTCACGTTCGGTTGTCTTCTAAAATATCTTTGGATAAACTTTCACAGCCTGCCTGGTTTCTTTGAGTTTAATAGTGGGAATTTATCTTTTTTGGGGAAAGTTAGTCCGTTAGCATGTAAGATAAGCTTTTGTCGAAAAACAAGAACCATGCTGTGCCAACTGTGGATGCGTACGAGGACTGTAAAGCGGTTTGCAATGGGGAATGTCGGAAGTAGCATTAGCGATAGCTGTGTGCGCTAACCAGATTAGGTCGAGTGAGAGGTTGAAAGTGACTGAACCTTGACAGTGGTATTCCGCACGGAAACACAGAGCTTCAATGACGACATTACGCTGTAGTTCTTTGTGATGACCCACAAACAGCACTGGAGAGCTGTTTCGTCCTGTTCAGAACTCGTGCGTACCTCTTGTTCATATCAGAATGCGAACCTTCGTTTTGCGAG